CCAGAAAGTTCTCCACCCAGATTCCTGGAACCTGGAATCAGCCATTTGTACCCCCACCAGATCCATTCATGGTTTCACTTGTGAATTCATTATTCATATTCAAAAAACACTCCCTAGGCTGGACATGGTGGCTCACACCTGTAATCCCAGCACTTTGGGAGGCCGAGGCGGGCAGATCACAAGGTCAGGAGATCGAGACCATCCTGGCCAACATGGTGAAACCCCGTCTCTAGTAAAAATACAAAATTAGCTGGGCATGGTGGTGCGTGCCTGTAATCTCAGCTACTGGGGAGGGCTGAGGCAAGAGAATCGCTTGAATGCAGGAGGTGGAGGTTGCGGTGAGCTGAGATGCACCGCACTCCAGCCTGGTGACAGAGCAAGACTCCATCTCAAAAAAAAAAAAAAGAAAAGAAAAAAAGAAAAGAGAAACACTCAGTAAATCACATTCATACCCTGCAGCACTAGGCATAAATAAAACATCATCTCAGCCTCTAAGGATTTCATGTAAAATGTGCTTTTGCTCCTCCTTTGCCTTCTGCCATGATTGTGAGGCCTCCCAGCCATGGGAAACTGTGAATCATTAAACCTCTTTTTCTTTATAAATTATCCAGTCATGGGTATATCTTCATAGCAGTATGAAAATGGGCTAACACAATAGATAAGCATCCATTTAGATATTTTCAGAAGTAAACCCACCGAGAGACTTGATTACCAACAGGAGCTTCTTCAGAGTAAATTACAAGGGCATAAAAATATGTTTGACAGAATGAATGTGATCTAGTGTTTGATAGCACGACAGGGTGACTGCAGTTCACAATAATTTATCATACATTTTTAGATAGCTAAAAGAGTATAATTGGATTTTTTGTAACACCAAGAAGAATGCTTGAGGTGATGGATACACCATTTACCCTGATGTGATCAGTACACACGGAATCCCTGTATCAAACTATTTCATGTACCCCATAAATATATACACCTACTATGTATCACAAAAATTAAAAATAAAAAAAATTTTTAAATAAAAAAATTCACCAAAAACAAAAAAGTAAACTACAAGAAGAAAGGGAAGATTTCTTATATGAAGGTCTAAGAATCAAAGTGAAAGAATTACAGATATGGTATGGGAAATTAAATCATGGTGGATAAGAGGTGAGCCACAACCACAATATAAAACATTAAATTTAGGCAGATATTTGCAATGTGAAAACTGGAATTAGGAAGAAAGCGTCCTCTATTCTACGTGTGTGCTGATTAGGATCAGTTGAGAGCCCTCCACCCTGATATTATCCTCCCTAAATATATGAAATGTAGACTTTTAACACAAATTTTTAAAAACTTTTTCTAATGTTCAGAGACAGTGTTTCCGCTGTTCACATTTCATGATGTTTTGATGGTCTTGTGAGTAGTAAGAACAATAATTATCATTATCATTCTTTTCTTTTTGTTTTCAACGTAACCTAAGTCAATCTCTCTGCCTTCTATTTTTTTAAAATACAGACACCAAAAGACACCATCCCAACTGAATTCAATGTTATTGCAAATTTCAAAAAAATTTAAAAAATTTTTTAAAAAGCCACTGCCCTCACCTTAATCAGAATGAATATGAATCCACAATACAACAAACAAACATTCCTGCCTTAGACCCCAGGAATACAAATTAACAAACTGCTATGACAAGACTATTATTCTGCTAGATAGAGAGTGAAGAAAGTCTAAAAGAGGCAAGGAATGATACCACCTCAAACCTCACTGTTTTCTCAACTTAAAAATCCTTTTTCTACTCCAGATCTCTGCTCATGCCTCACTTCAGACTTCCCTGAGAATTGTCCCTTTCTCATAGAATGGCCAGAATCAAGCGATAATCCAATGCCTTGGGGCACAGGTAGCTCTCATGGGCAGCCTGAGTGTCCCAGCTCACAGACAGGCAGCAAAACTGTGAAAAAATTATGCAGTTCCTGCCTCTGAAGTGGGCTGAAAAATAGATTTTGAACCTAAATGTGCATCAACAGATGAAGGAATAAAGAAAGTTTGCATATACACACAATGGAATACTATTTGGCCACAAAAAAGCATGAAATCCTGTCATTTGTGGCAACATGGATGAGCATGTTAAGTGAAATAAACCAGATACAGAAAGATAAATATTACTGTTCTTACTCATATGTGGAAACTTAAAAATGTGGATCTTGGCCCAGTGCAGCGGCTCACATCTGTAATCCCAGCACTATGGGAGGCAGAGGTGGGCAGATCACAAGGTCAACAGATGGAGGCCTGTATTTCACCTGACCAACATGGTGAAACCCTGTCTCTACTAAAAATACAAAAATTAGCTGGGCTTAGTGGCACGCGCCTGTAGTCCCAGGTGCTTGGGTGACTGAGGCAGGAGAATTGCTTCATCCGGGAGGCGGAGGTTGCAGTGAGCGGAGATTGTGCCACTGCACTCCAGCCTAGCGACAGAGCAGGACTCTGTCTCAAAAAACAAAACAAAAAAAATAGCTGGGTGTGGTGGCGTGCGCCTGTAGTCCCAGCTACTCGGGAGGCTGAGGCAGGAGAATTGCTTGAACCTGGGAGGTGGAGGTTGTGGTGAGCCGAGATCGCGGCACTGCATTCCAGCGTGGCACCTGGCAACAGAGTGAGACTTTGTCTCCAAACAAACAAACAAACAAACTGTGAATCTCATTGAAGTAGAGAGTAGAATTGTGTTCATCAGAGACTGGGGAAGATAAGGAGAGGTTGGTTAACAAATGCAAAATCACAGCTAGATAGGAAGAACATGGTCTAGTATTCCATATTCCATAGATCTACAGGGTGGCTGTAGTTAACTATCATTTATTGTATATTTGCTTTTTCTATTTTTTTTTTTAAACAGATTCTTGCTCTATCGCCAAGGCTGGAGTGCAGTGGTGGAATCTCAGCTCACCGCAACTTCTGCCTCCCAGGTTCAAGTGATTCTCCTGCCTCAGCCTCCCAAGTAGCTGGGATTACAGCCACCAAGACTGGCTAATTTTTTATATTTAGTAGAGACAGGGTTTCACCATATTGACCAGGCTGGTCTCAAACTCCTGACCTCGTGGTGATCCACCCACCTCAGCCTCCCAAAATGCTGGGATTACAGGTGTGAGCCACCCACGCCCAGCCTATTGTGTATTTTCAATTAGCTAGAAAGAGGATTTTGAATGTTCCCAACACAAAGAAATGATAAATGTTTGTAGTGATGGATATGCTAATTACCCTGATTTGATGGTTACAGTTTCTATGTGTGTATTGAACTATCACACTGTATACCATAAATATGTGCAATTATTATTTGTGAATTAAAAATAATTTTTTAAAAGAAATGGATTATCAGCCAGAGCAGGATTCCATACCAGGCACAACCCTAACATTTGCAGGTCCTAGGGCAAGAAGGCAAATGAAGGCTACTGTGTCATGTCATTTGTCTGCATACTTAAATGTTATTAATCAAGCTAATAAAATGAATACATGAAATATATCTACCCTCATTTATGAGATAGCCCTTCATAATGACCTGAAAGGTCAGGTTTGAATTTATAATTCTCTGATTCCTCAGAACTCCATGCCCAGCCCACAGCTCACCTCTCTTTTCACCCATCCCCAGCTCTGCTCACAGACCCTGCAAACAGGAGCATCCCTTGATGCCTCTTCTGCCTAGGGGTCTGCACCCAGTTGGCCCCACCCCCCAGGGATGGACATTGAGGAAAGGCCCCTGTAGCTCCTTGAAGCAGGCACAAGGTTTCCCTGGGCAGGCAATCCCAGAACCCAGCTACTCAAAGCATGGCCCAGAAAGGGAGAATGGCAGGCAGAGGCTCTTCATGGGCATATTCCCCTTGCCCCCAGCAACTCCTCACCCCATGGGGAGGGACTTAGCCAGAAGAAGCCCAGAGTCAGACCAAGATCAGAGGAGGGACCCCTCTTTCCGGAGTCTAAGAGCAGAAATATTGAGCTGAGAACAAATAGTCATCCTGGATGGGAGTGAACTCCTTCTGTCTGTCTCTATGCCATGCACCACGCTTTGCAGAACACTCTCGGCCCCTGGCGTCACTGCAGAGGACACAGTTGAGGGGTAAACAACTGTGTTGGTTAAACGAGGCCCAGAGAACAGGACTTGGGATAATAAAGCCTGGGAAAACACCTGGACCCTCTAGATTCTCAATCAAAATTCTTAAATATTCCCCACGAGTGAGTCTTCCCCCAGGCTGAAGTACCAGTTGAAATGAGACAGGCTTCTGTCTCCCTCAGAGTCTAACACAGTTGGAAGGCACACAGCTCATATTCCACAAATCCTTGAGTAAATCAATGAACAACAGCAGCTGATGGCATTTGTTGAGTGCTTACCTTTGCATTATTATTTAATTTCATCCTTACCTCAATTCTGAAATAGATTCTACTATTACTCTAATTTACAGACAAGGAAGATGAGGTTCTGAGAGGTTTATAAGCAAAGTCTGCCAGCAGTAAGTGGCAGAGCTGAGATGAATATGAATGAATGAACCGATAAAAGAATGGAAAAAATGAATAATGAACAAATTCATTCATAAATAGGTAAATCATGTGCTTTATCTTTTTTTAGTACTTAGACACCTTCTGACCCCTGGGGCTGGGGCTCTTGAGCACCAGAAGGTGTGTCAGCTGGTTTCCCTAGAACCCTGAGGATTTGGTTCTATTAAGCCCCATCCACCCTCAGCCCATTCACTCTCAAGATGGACCAACTGTCCCAACACAAGGATTCTCCCACTCTCTAGGCATCTGCCGTGCCTTTAAATCTCTCAGCTCCCACCACGTTCTCCCCAGTCCACTCCAGACTCAATAGCCTCTCTTGCCACTGGCAGATGGGAAACCGTCTTTGATATTGCAACGATCACACCATTGCGACGACCTAGGGACTTCTCTCTATTATCTTTGCCTCCCCACCCTGCCATCCCCCGACCCTCAACCCTTCTGGGGCATCATTCTTTATGATTGATAGACACAAGAAAAAAATTGTGAGGTTTAATGAAATGTGGACCCTAAGCAACCTGAAACAAAGCCATTTCTATCCACGATTTTTATTTCTCTTCATTTGCGGAGCTGTTGTGGATATCTGAGGAGTGGTCCAGTCAAGGATTCCATGAATCGTTACTGGTTCGATTGTTAAATAGCGACTAGGGACACAGCACCGCTTACGATTCCGGCAGCGTATGATGCTGTCTTCATTGTCTCTGCACAACAACCGGCAGTGTCCATCCATCCAACACTCTACTTCAGGGCATACGAACAACAGTAAAGCAGATGTTAGTATCACTCCAGTGGAGAGAAAACAGCAGGCAGAGGAGGAACAGGAGGACAGGGAAGAAGAGAAGAAAGCCAGCTGAGTGAGTAATGCTAGACCCAGTTCCAGGAAAAGAGAGAAGAGACCTTGGGAGGGAAGAGAACTGAGACAATGGTTCCAACTAGAACTCTAAAGTTTTTGGGAGAGGTTTTTTAGCCTTCTGTCTTCCTACCCCCCAACTTCTTACTCCTTACTTTGGAATCAACTAAAGCTAATTAATGTCCCACCTCACAGAGCTAGGAATGAAGGGAAAAGGACGTGATCACCTGTAATATTAGGGAACGAAGAGGATTCACTCTCGTTACACAGACCTGATTTTTTATCAGTAGCCTGACCCTGTTTAGCATAAACCTAACAAGCCCCGGCTCCAGCTGCAGCCCAATCTCCAATCTTCCTTATTAACCCAATTCAAACTCAAACTCATTCAGGCCTACCTTAATTAGAACTCCCAGCCTTACTCCACCCAGTGCCCCCAAGCCCCAACTCCAAGCCAAACGCTAGTCTAATCCAATCCCAACTAATCAAACCCTAATCTAATCAAGTCACTAACCTCCATTCCCAGCAGTGTCCCATCAGCAAGCTGAACCCAAACACCCTGCACCATCCAGCACCGACTCCCAGCCTCAGCCCAAGCCCCAGCCTAATCCCAACACCAGCTCCACTCAACCCCAAATCCCATCCCCTCTCCAACTCTATCCTAAACCATCAGGAAAGCCCAGCTCCTCACCTCCAGCTGGTCCTAATATTCCTTCTATCACCCCAATTCCAAGGGTTTTCCTCCATCTTCACTCTAACCTCCCCAACCTTCACTCTAATCTCCCAAAGTCCTCAACAAGTCCCCAGCCTGCACCTGTGCTTTGCCCCTCAAACCTCTCCCAAGCTCCCACCAGGATATCATCCTGGCCCTCAAGCACCAGATGCTCCAAACATCTATCATCACACCACTCTGAAAAAAAGAATCAGAGAGAGATATTAACGAGTTGATCCTGGGGAAACCTCTGAAAGCAGCAGGAGAGAAGAAAAGGTTTCAGATGCTGCCCACAGTGAGAGGAGAGGGAAAGACGGGAAGCGCATGACCAGGAGCCCAGACCCCTGAGAGAGGCTCACGTTACCTGATACCGCTGGTTCTTCTATGGCCAGAAGGATGGCAAGAAACAGGACAAGAAGTTTCATGGCTGGCACACCTGTGAGGAGGAGGTGAGTGAGCTGCAGCAGATGGAAATAGAGTTCCCTGCAGCAAGGCAGAGATGAGCCTTGCTTTTATCAGCAGGCTGTGGGCAGTGAATTAGAAAAGAAGGGGATTTATTGGAGGTCATCCAGGCCAAAGGACAGTGTGTAGCAGATGTCTCAGCAAAGCACAAGATGAGAGTGTGGGAAACTGGCCAGCACCCGTGCCAGTAAAGGGACAGGCCAATTAAAGCCATTTGGCCTTTGAGAGCCACAAAGGAATTAATACATAATAAATATATATCGAGAAATATTTAGTTTAAAAATTACTTTGCATTTCTCTGATAAATAGAACATGCACTGGACTTTTTATTATTTCCTTTTGAATTATTTAGTCAGATATTTGGACAGTTCTACTGGAGTACTGTTGTGTACTTATTGATTTACGAGAGCTCTTCAGTGCTGTTATTACATCAGCTGCCTTGTCATGCTTGGTGACAATACTCTTCTCCATGATTATGTTCTGCTTTAAGATATATTACTTGCCTATAAATGTTTAAAACATATTTAAAACGTAAAAAATACATTAAACAGATCAGGTGTGGTGGCTCACGCCTGTAATCCCAGCATTTTGGGAGACCAAGGGGGCGGTGGATCACGAGGTCAGGAGCTCGAGACCAGCCTGGCCAACATGGTGAAACCCTGTCTCTACTAAAAATACAAAAATTAACCAGGGGCGGTGGTGGGCGCCTGTAATCCCAGCAACTCAGGAGGCTGAGGCAAGAGAATCATGTGAACCCTGGAGGCAGAGGCTGCAGTGAGCCAACATCAAGCCATCGCACTCCAGCCTGGACAACAGTGTGAGATTCCATCTCAAAAAAAAAAAAAAAAAAAAGAGTTACTAACTCAGAAGTGGGAGTCGGTGGCAGCATAGTGAAGGAGGATTTAACTTTTTCCAGGCGGAGAATTGCTGTGCAGAGCCTAAAAGTAGAAAATTACAAAATGAGATCAGCCTAGATTCATCTTACATTTTTATCAAGAACTGAATGTGCGCTAGATTCTGCGCTGTGCACGTCCCTGTCTCATCACATTTAATTCTCATGACAACCCTATGCCTTGAGTAGGAAAGTTCCCCATTTTAGAGATGAGAAAACAGAGCTGAGAAGGTTAAATGGCTTGCCTAGGGTCATGCAGCCTGGGTGACAGAGCAAGACTCCATCTCGATAGATAATTAATTAACTAATTAATTAATTAACCAAAAATTACTTATTCTCAGCTTTCAAACAGAAGGATACACATGTCTAATGTCTTTCAGAACTTCCGAATTTGCCAATCTTGTTCCCAGTTCAGGGCCTTAACAGTTGTTATCTGTTTTCCCTGTAAAGCTCTTCCTCCAAATCTTCCCATGAAAATCTCCTGCTCATCATTCCATATCATCCCAAATGTCACCTCCTTGGAGAGGCTTTCCCAGGCCACCTTAGACAACAGTACTCCAACACGCAGTCACTGTAGACTGTAATAACTGTTTGCGACCTCCATATATGTACCTATTCTTTAAAATTCTGTTTTGCATGTTTGATCTTTGTCTCTCTATTTAGAATGTCAGAAACTTGGCTTATGACCCCAGTACCCATAACATCACCTGGTGTATTAAGATACTTACCCAGCCATTTTAACTGATATTCCCCCCAAAAAAGAATGATTCCCGAAGACAGACATGGATTTCTTTTTTATGTAAAAGTCTGGGTATACAGTTAAGTGTGGCAGCTTCACCATTCAGCAGGGAGCTAGATTCCTTCTGGCTTGATGCTCTGCCATCTTCAAGAGGCTAGTTCATGTGATGACTATGAGCTGCTCCAGTTCCCACTGCTAAGTCCCCATCCAGCCATCAGGAAAGGAGAAATGGAAGTGAAATACAACACCCTTTTCTTTAAGGACATCACTCAGAAGTTGCACCCCTCAGCTTGGCACGGTGGCTCGCACCTGTAAGCATAGCATTTTGGGAGACCGAGGCGGGTGGATCACTTGAGGTCAGGAGTAAAAGACCAGCCTGGCCAATCTGATGAAACCCCGTCTCTACTAAAAATACAAAAAAAATTAGCCAGGCATGGTGGTGGGCACCTGTAATCCCAGCTATTCCGGAGCCTGAGGCGGGAGAATGGCTTTAACCCAGGAGATGGAGGTTGCAGTGAACCGAGATCACACCACTGCACACTGCACTCCAGCCTGGGCAACAGGATAAGACACCGTCCCTACAAAAAATAATAATAAGTTCCACCCCTCACTTCCAATCCTGTCCACCTCCCAGAGCTCATTCAGACCATCACACCCAGCTGCAAAAGAGGCTGGAAATATTTTCTTTATTCTAGGCAACCATTTCCAGCTAAAATTTAGGGGTTGTCTTACTACGAAGGGAAAGAGATACACAGAGGAAGTTCTAGCAATCTCTGACATACCTGGCATTAAATATTAAATAATATTTAATAAATCTCTGTAGGCAATAAACAATAAATATCACTTAGTTAATAACTAATTGCCGATAAGAAATAACTTATACATTGGGTACATCTATGAGAAGTGATCTAGTAGAGAAGACACCCAAGACCCTGTAACTCCAGGGCTTTGGAAGCCCAAGAGGGGAATCTGCTTGAGCGCAGGAATTTCAGACCAGCTTGGGCAACATATGTGACCTCATCACTACAAAAAAACTTTTTAATTAGCCAGGTGTGGTGATACACACCTGTAGTCCCTGATACTCAGGACCTGTAGTACCTGCCAAGATGGGAGGATTGATTAAGCCTAGAGTTCAAGGCTGCAAAATGTTCAAATGCTTGTTTTTCTGCCTCCCCTGCAGCTAGAATATGGACACATGGGTAGGTTCAGCCAATCAAATGACTCCCATGCTATCTTTTGAATCAGGTGCTCATGATTCCAGGAAGAAGGAACAGTAGAGAATCCATCTTAGCAAAGGAGCCCATTATGATATCCAGTGTCCAGGGGCAATAGGAAAGCAGGACAAATAGGTGTAGAGTTTAGGGTTCTCAGCAACGGAGTTTGGTGGCAGCTGTGTCCTCACTAGACTGGTCCCTAGGGTGATTTTTCACTCTAGCTCCTCTTACCCTACCTCCTTAGTTCCCACCCATTTTCTAAACCTCGCTCTAGGAATTCTCTGAATTTCCAAGCAGACAAAGATTCCCTTTGCTAAAAACCCTTATCGAAGACCAGGCGTGGTAACTCACACCTGTAATCCCAGCACTTTGGAAAGTCGAGGCAGGCAGATCATGAGCTCAGGAGTTCAAGGCCAGCCTGGCCAACATGGTAAAACCTGTCTTTACTAAAAACACAAAAATCAGCTGGGCATGGTGGTGTGCATCTGTAATCCCAGCTACTTGGGAGGCCGAGGCAGGAGAATTGCTTGAACTAGGACCCAGTATGCAGAGGTTGCAGTGAGCAAGATCGTGCCACCATACTCCAGCCTGGGCTACAGAGTGAGACTCCATCTAAAAAAAAAAAAAAAAAAGAAAAGTGATAAGTGCCTATCTAGAGTTCAGTACAGTGCCTGGCAGCTAGTAAGTGCTCAATACATTTTAGTTACAGTTTCTTTGTTTTGAGGTAAGGAAGGAGGGAATTTAGAGTCTTGAGCGTGTTTGTCCTCTGCAGCCTCAGTGAAAGCGAAGCCAGGTTTCCTGCTGTGTCGGGGATTAGGGATTGAAGAAAACAAGATCTGGAGAAGCCCCTGTGGGGGGTGGAGGAGATACACTGGCCAGAGAGCTGTGGGGGTGGGGGGCCTGTGATCAGGACTGGATGGCTCAATAGGACGAGCACATGCTCAGGCTCAGGGCACTGGTAAGGTATGACCAAAAACAAAGTCAGAAAATCTAAAGAACCCCCTTTAATCTCAGCAGACAGGAATGTTTTATATCATTTCACAGAAGTAAAATTTTATTTCAGAGTTGAGTGTTGTTTATTTTGAATTCCACTGGTAGCACAGTAAACTTCCTGGCGTTTCATGTTACTAAAGGGGTTCATGAAGACTTGCTTGGTGTGCAATGGAGCTGACCAGGATAAGGGAATTTGGGGCTGCTGTCCAGCAGTGTGATGAACATGC